ACGTGTCATTACGTACGACAAGAGAATTAGTTGTTTTTGTTTTTTTTTTTTTTTTTCCTCCTTTCAAAGGAATTTGCACGTGCTGTCAAGTGCTGGTAACGTGGTAGAATAGAGGGAAAGGCAAGCCGACTTGGAATTCGACGTATAACGCATCACGACGGCTCTGGTAAATTTACGGGTTATGGTTAGCTCAATCACTAAGTACCAAATAGCGGGGTCATTAACAAAAGACGTTTGCCATTTTAGGCGTGGGGATCAATCTCCCTTCGGCCGCGGATTCGACACCAAAATACTCCAGTTCTTCTAACCAATGTTTGGCCTGGGATCTTTTGAACGATATGCTGAAACTTGGAGAATAATTGGTTCAAGAAGAACACATTCCACTCTTTTAGGGATTTGCTATGGATATAGACTAGATCACAAAGTGGTGAAAGCATTGATGGGGCATTCTGGAGCCGATTCCCGCGGCTTAGGGGATACTAGTTTGCTAGTACTAATAATGCTCGGACTACCTCCAGGGGCCGGCAAGAAGCGGTTTCGAGAAGGGGGAAGCCTCCAGGGCTGGATTGTTCCTTCAGGTCTGGAATGGAACCGAGTATACGACTACGTGTGTCGGAGCTGCTGCTTGTGCAGCATGCGCTCCACCATCAGTTGCGCCTGTAGATTGCGACCCATCAGGGATTTGGCTCCTTTTCTCAAAAACCAGAGCATCGCCTCTCGCAATCTGAACCTTCTGGCGAAGGATTCACCCGAAAAGGGTCCAGCTTGCGGCAGTCAACTAAGGCAATGGCAGGATGACTGCATTATTACTAACCGGGCATGCCCCAAGACAGGTAAGCATACGCTGAAGTCACGCTTGATTGAGCACGCCCGGCTTTGCGGGCTCTTGTAGATATATCGCTGCTGACAACACCATATGCAAATCATTCGTTTATTTCCTCGGCGAGCAAAACTTCCCATGTCCTAGAATGATGATTGGGTATACAGCCATGGCCACCACCAACACTGCATGCGGAGGCCAGGATGAGAGAGATATAGACGGCCCTCCCATAACAACTACGACTCAGCATCTCGAAGGCGAATGGGCTCCCATCCAGAATCCCCGACAAGTCTCTGGCCGGACTCTTAGGAGATCGTGTGACCGCTGCCACCAGCAAAAGCTCCGATGCGTAGGGAGCAAAACATCGTTAGAAGCCTGCGCACGATGCCAACGCTTCGGCGTCGAGTGTGTTTACAACCCCCGGTCTAGCAAGCAGACCAACAAAAACAAAGCCGGAAGCCAGAACGTTGCACAAAACGAGCCCATGACACCTGTCATAAATCAACAACCCCCGAGCAACTATGGGGCATTTGACCCCGATCAGCTGCATCTAGACAGCTTCTTCCCATCTGCTTGGGATGCTATAACCACCCCGCCTCTGACTGGTCATACTCTGGCGGCACATTCACACAGTAGCAGTGCGTCGATGCTATCAACGAGCACAGGGCCCGTTTTCTCAACCAAGTCGGGGATGGACGAACATGTTGTTCTGAGCCCTCCAGAAGTATGCAAGTCGGGCAACAGCGACTCGTCCGATAAACTTGCGAGCATATGCCAGACACTAGAAAATCTACTCAAAACGGTAACGAGTGAACAGACAGGCCAAGGCGAACAATGTAAACCCGCACAAACCCCGCCTAGAGTAAAAAACATGATAGCTAACTGCGATATACGCAGATTCTGTCGGCGAGATATTCAACGCCTTTGAATGCTTCATATGGATCGTGGCGGTCGACCGGAGACCTCGGGCCCTATCGCAAGATCCCAACACATCCTTTGACAACCACATAGACGGCAAGCAAGCGTTCAAGGCAGCGCAATGCTACATGCTTTGTATAAGGCTTTTAGCCGCGCTTTCGGAAAAAATGCTCCAGAACCTGTTGGCATCACCCACGCCCGCACAACGCCCAACATTTGGTCTAGGCACGCCCGACTCGACGCAGTTCAGTAGCGGCCCGCTGGGTGACATGGTGGAGAACTTTCGGATGGAAGACCTATTTGCCGCCCCCACGGAATCGTACGAGCAGGCTGCCGAGTCCGCCGCTAACATGCTCCGCGTCGGCACCCGGCTCATTGGGAAAATGGAGCAGCTGCTGGACATCCCTTCCGACCTGGCGGTGGGCACCATGCCGTCGGCGGGAGAACAGCCAGGCATCGACCATCAGCGAAGGAAGCGGTCGCTGCCGGCGCGCCTCGTCGTGACAACGTGGGATCACGAGACGAGTGTCGGTAACAAATGCGCAGTAACGAATTTCAGGCGCTATCGCGCCGCCATCTTGGGTCTTATCCAAGGCCATGTGTGAGAGGCTCCCCTATGATGTTGAACACACGAAGCTACCTACCTATTATTATCATGCAGCATGACCTGCTGAAACGTACGTCATATCCGCTCTCGAGCCCCAAAGCCTCGCCAAAGACAATGGAGAGGTCTGGGTGCAAACCTGACATATACGCCGACTAGAACATCAAGTCCGCGATAAAAAAAATGTCGCACACAAGAATTGGCATCCTAGCGGGAGGACACAGGCCTATAGACTGGCCTGTGCGCACCATCTCTTGTGTCAACGACTCTGCGCGGCTTCAGTACGATGTAGCTTGGAGGCGGTGATCGGCTCCGTCTTCTATTCGGTGCTTACACGACTCACGACGACCTCAAAAGGTCACATAGATTACCTAGCGATTAGACGCTAGCCATGAGAGAAGATGTCTGCTGAGACAGTTTTATACCCTAAGGAAGCAGTAGAGGCATCGCGGCCAACACCGTTTCTTTTGAGAATATACATATATAGATACATAGAAGCATATAGAAACATGAACAAATTATTTCGACCAGGGTCGTATACTACCATAACGCTTACCGCACGAGGGCTTGTCTTTATCTTGTACTTGAGAGTTTGGCTATGACTTGTCCAATTGGGACATCTCTTATATAAGCACCTTCTGCCAAGGTGCAAATTGTCATTCTCCACATTTTCTTCACTGCCAATTTGTACTGGTTAGCTAGATTTTACACTACAGACCAATCGAGAGCTTAGATTAAACAGTGTAGGAAACATCAACTTGACCGGTTTGCACTAATCCGGCGGCAACACACGTCTCTTGCATACGACACAGCAGTGACAAGATCTTTATCGGCAATGTAATTGATTATAAGAGGGTTTGAATAGATAGGTTGTGTGCTTGGCTCGCGCTAATTGCAAGCGACATGAAACGATCTCGCGCTGAAAAAGTCTATATCTTACTAGTCTACGATCTTTCGGTCTTGACACAAATGCTAATCAACGTCTATTTGGAGATCTCTACACCGTTCGTAGCACCTGTAATAATCATGTTAGTAACCTGGTATTGACGCGGGCGTATGCAAGACAGTCATTTAAACTTACCGAGAGCCTTCTTGATATCACCGTAGATGGCGAATTGACCGGCAGTCAATCCACCGACCATGAAGAGACGGGTGGGGAGACCGGCAAAGGAACCACGCAGACCGAGCTCGCCAGCAATCTTGACGAGACGGGAGATGGTGCTCTCACCGGGGAGTCCCTTGGTCTTGTTGATCTTGGAAAGCATGGTGTCGGCGGGCTGCGAAACAATGGCGGCAGCGAAACCAGCCATCAGACCAGAGCCCAGGTTAATACCAGTCAAGGCACCACCGGAGAGCTTGGACTTGTCGAATTGGCCGAGGATGGCCTCGGAAACCTTCTCGAAAGCGACGAACTTGGTAACGGTGTAGGGAACCCTGTGCAGCGCGCGTAGGTCAGTAAACAGATCTTTGAGCTAGTAGGGGCTGGATCGGGAAGAACATACTGCTTGAACAAGATGGGTCCGAAGCCGGCGTAGAAGGCGCCAATACCCTCGGTAGTGAGGATCTTGGTGAAACCATCAATCAGACCCTTTCCGTAGCCGGGAGTAGAGACGAGACGGATACGAGTGGCCTCCAGGGGGCAGAGGGCGATGGAAGCGAAGAACTCAGCCGAAGCAGCCGACACGGAGTAGACGGCGGTACGGTTCTCGCGGGCCTTCTCGAGGCCAATCACATCGATGGCCTGCTTCTTGAAGAACTCGTAACCACCAAACTTGAAGGCGCCCTGGACGAAGTATCCAGTGAACGTGGGACCGAATCCAGTGGCCAACGCGCTGACTCCCTCATTCTTGATGACCTGGCGGAAACCGCCGATCATGCCACGGTTGTACGTCGCAGGGTCGAGTTGTATCCTGGTCTTGATCCTAAAGGGGCTGTCAGCGAGCAGGTCGACACGGTGGGCGCGGCCGGCGGAGGGCATAGAGCTCAGCTCCATGCGGCGTGGAACACGTACACATCGACGGGTGTGAAGGCGCCGTGGGTGACCGAGCAGCCGAGAGCTCCAGCCAGGGCGAAGCGGGAGTAGAGGTCCAGGCCCTCGGGCTGCTTCTTGACGAGCTCACTGACGGATGTGGCAGGGGCGGCCATTGTGAAATGTGTGATGTGATTAAGGAGGGAGAGAGGAAAAGACGAAAACTACGCAAGGCAATGCGATGTAATGGGAGACAGGAGAACCAAGGACAACTGGGTCAACTCGGCCGTCAGCAAAAACAATGGGGATCGCTGGCGCGGGTGAAAATTCGATGGATTACGGTGAAGATTGGATGGATTACCTGCGTGTTCTTTTTCGCAGGATGCGTTGTTTTGGCCTCTCTTTTTTTTTTCTTGCGCTAATTTTTCGAAACACTCTGCTAGGGTGTGCAATCAACTGCTTTTGGGGGGTGTAGAGGGAAATTGCGTCACAAAACAGACTGAAAAGCTGATCTTGTCTGTGCCAGGCATTAATACACCCACACCAGCTGTTTCTCGGGTTTCTTTGTTTTCCGTTCTCACCCGGATTCCGTTGTCGTGGATTCCCGTACACGATCTCATTGGCTCACAGGAGCGATCGCCGCTTGGTCCTCGCTTGCGACGATGTGGGACCTCCTTGTGTGATGTCAGCCAGGTCAGCTTTGCTCTGGCTGGGCTACCAGTGGCTACCCAGTAGTGCTCTTGCGCTATAGTCTCTAATAAGGCTGCTAGGCCAACCGTTGGCTTAGCTCCCAGCGGGTGTTCCCCGTGGGAGCTAACGCTAGGGTCGACGGAATATTTGACCGCCTCGCGTCCCGTGTGCCTCTTGGACGACGTAGTACGGATACTTCGCGAATGCACGACCTTCTATTCCTGACATTCCGCCTGCCATAATGCATCAGCTGTAAGCACGACACTTGGAATCCTCCATCTGTGGAGAAGCAATAGTTGCTCACAGGCTCGCCTCAGGCGCGCAAGGTTCATGGGCATCAGAATCCAATTCCTCGGCCGAGCCTCGATTCGGGATTTGATCGTGGTGGGTTTCCATCGTTCCCAACTTCCAGAATCCACAATACTCTCCTCGCCATCAAGTGCCTTTGAAACTCAAGTCGGGGTGGAGATACCCAATGCTGTCAATATGAGCTGGCTCTGAGTACATATATACGACTTGACTTGAAATACCAGATATCCCGTAATTGTGATTCGAAAGGGCATGCCGGTCAGGCATTCAGTCGTTAAGTAGTGCTGCCATGCTGGCACTGGACTCCATGCCCAATTCATTGCAGGCCAAGGTCATAATTCTAATATGATCTTGACATTTACACGTCTGCCTAAATGTTTGGATGATTGATGACAGGCTAATTTGACCATCGGACACGAAAGAATATTTGTACAAGACCCTGTTACCTATATGGACTGCGCATTCGACAGGAGTATATGTTGATCGTTCACGCTGTCAGGCCGACTAAGTGTTGATCAAAAGAGCGTGAATTTGGAAAGAACGGGTGGCCACGGTGCTCGTGTCTTATTGCCACTGGTGATAAGAGCGAAACACGACGCCCTACAACACAACATCGTATTTCAGCTTACGTGGCATTCGAAACTTACTTTGCATGCAGTACTGCTTCACCCAGTAGGCTAGAACTTTTGAAGCAAAATGGCCCTCTTCTGACATGAACCGTTATTTAAGTGCCAGACGCTATTCCCTTTCATTGTCGGCCCTGGGATATGTTAAGCAGACTGGCACTTATACTGCGTTGTGCACAAAAGTTCCATGGTAATTATTAGGTAGAATCCGACACAGGCTTTGGATTGAATATTAGCAAAGATCATGTTATTTTCAGCAATGGCTTCCTTGATAACTTGGTCTAGGTAGTTTCTTTCAGTCATAGCTTATCGTCCAACCGTTTCAAATATGAGTCTATGTCTGGATCACCTTCGCTGGAAATCATGAAATGATCACTTTTAATTTCGTGTGCCACTCTCACGCTTTCCCTACATCTTGGGTACGTGTCTCCATTCTAATGATTTCTCATTCAGAGGATAATTACTATAAGAAAGCTGTGCTCGTACTCATGTTACCTTTTCAACACAAGCTTTTTGTTCTTGAATCATGCCGATCGCCGATTTGTGCCTCGGCCTGCAAAAGATCGGAACAATAATATTACGTAAGCTTTATACCAACAGCCAAGTCTTGAGCAAGACAGCCTCGGAAGGGAAAATCCAACAATTAAGCCATTTAGACAAAAGATTACAAGAGGTGTGTCAAGAACGTGTTTATCTATATGCGGTACAAATGTCTTTGCACGTACGCCTTCAGATTCACGTGGACAAGACCTCAACTGCTTTCTCTCAGACTCAGAATCGTGTAACCTATTATAGGCCGTGCATCGCCCTGCACAACACGTATGCACATGTAAGCAGTGATATGATAGGGTTTACAACTCAGTCCGTTTCTCGATAACCTCAGGGGAGATCAACAGAGGCTTGCACTGGGCCTGCGAGCTGGATTTATCTGCCTTTATGGTCTCTACTGGTCGTAGACTTATGGACATGATGATCAAGGAATGAAGTAAATCGATAGTTGACCGATATATCCAAAGATACACAATCTCCATGGCAGAATAGAATAATACCAAGAGTACCGAATGTTACAATGGCTAATATATCGAGTTGGCAAATCGGTAGGCCTCAGTGTCTGCAGATCTCTATAAAGTAGCCGCCATTTTCGTCTTGCGTACGCGTTGCAACTAAAAGGACACAACCATACGAAAGATGGAACGTACTCTAAACTATGTTGATATTGTTGTGTCACTATCTTTTTGACTGGAATAGGGCCCCTGCCATAATCAAAACGGCTTAGTCATGGATACGGCCCAGGAACTTTCAACCAAGGGTAAGCGGTTGGAGACAGAGGTCATCATGGGTGACACCGGCATTTAATGAGTACATGCAGTCATACGACAAATATTCCCTGCTTGCATAAAAGGGTCTTTTTGGAAAAAAACAGGGTTGTCTTTGGGGATCCATCTCATAGACTGCAGCCCTTCGAGACAAATCAGGGGGGATATGGAGAAATGCAATGTATTCATTCATTTCTAGAAAGAGCATGCCGATATGCATGATGGCCCGCAATCTTCCCCAGATCTCAACGGAGAGGGGCAGTCGGTATTTCTTCAACCTGGTCAATTTTGTTGTTCACTCACCTGATCCGTGCCATATGCGAGTACCGACTTGTGCCGCGATAGAACTACAAGGCTGTCTGGATAGTGCAACTTCCGAGAGTGATGCAGAATTCACGTGGTGCACATTTCCACCATGCCCTTTAGTCAGCTTCCACGACAGTGTCTTGATCATTACCGAACATACTACTCCACGATGGAGTCTCGGAAAAGCCAGCCAGACCAGACAAGGGTGGGTGACTTTCACCTGGGTATGCACATTCAGCCATGTACGAGTAAGGCGTTCTCAAGATTCGGTTCTTCCCTGCTGCAGATACATTCTGCATTTGCATCAAAGGAATGGAGCAGGAACTGTTGCGGCTTTTTGCACATCAGCTCGACAGCAAATATCTGCTCAAAGAATAAGGAGCTTGAGGCTTAATAGAATCGGGACTCGAGCATTGGTACTACGACCATTCTCACTCTGTTATGCAGACTGTCATCTCATATCGACAGCATAGCCGACCATACAATATTTACACTAGCATACCTGGTATTCAGTTGCACGACGGTACCAACCATTTGAAGGTCTCTGAAGTGGAGGAACCAGTCTTCGTAGTGAATCTATGTACCTGTCTACTCATTATACCCGTCTATACAGAATTCCAAATCCATGCCGCAATTGAGGAACTACAATACACAAAGTAATAGATGTACGGGCTAGGGTTGGACATAATAGTCCTTGACATATTGGCTGAATTCCTTATCCTGCATCAACAGTTCGTGCACCTTCTCGCTTACAGCAATGCCGGCTTCCAATATCTTCTCACCATCATTGTCTACTTTTCCGGGCATCGGGAACAAGAACGGTATTGGCGAGACTGGCTGGCGTACGCAAGTTCCCGGCCCAAATCCAATGTCCCACGTATGATAGTCGAGACAAGCCCAGCTCGTAACACCAGCGTCCATCTTGCGCGGCGGACTAGTCATCCACGTTCGCGTTGCTGGCTCCTGGATGGTGCTAAGCCAAGCCTTGGCGTCTTCGACAAAGGTCGCGTTCACATTCTGGATTACACGTCGCAGCGCTACAGCTGCATCGAGCGGCCCTTCTGAAGCCTTGAGCGTGGCAATCGGGACCTCTGCACCGTTGAAGAGCGTGCCATTGCCGATGTAATTCTTGGGAAACCCGGGGTTGTTGTTTGAGCGGAAGCTGACGGGAAATACGGACCAAGAGGTCTCGATACCCTCATCTTCTCCCAATGCGCATTTGGCACGAACCAGTCCCCACCATAAAATGGCTTGAAAACAATCATGAGTCGATACCCTGGCGGACCTCTTTGCTGCGACTTCGTCTTTCAGAGCTGCGACCTTGTCAAGGTGGAAACTGACAATCGACGTCTTGACTGGCGGTCCCATCATGTTGGACCAAGGGTTGTTGGGGTCTGCCTTTGTGGAATCCACCATGCAGCCATGAGCCGTCATCTTTCGCTCTAGTTCCTGCACCTCGGACTGAGGAGCCGGCTCGGGATTGATGAGAATGGTGCGATCGGTGAACAGATCAACGATAGGAAGTCCTCGACAATGAGCGCCCCAAGCGTGGAAGATCTTATTGACACTCGGTCCATCTGCGACATAATGATGGAAGCAAGCAGTGAGGATGATGCCGCCGTCTATAAAATTGAGCTGGAATATGCACCCAGGCAGTCCGATCTGGTGGCCCTCAATGGACGCCACGGGGTTGATCAGGCCATCTGGATAGGTGGCGCCTTTGGGGAGCTTCCAAGGTCCAAAGCGTTCACGCTCGAGCTCTGCATATGATGGAAGATCGGTGCGGACAGTTGTCGCGCCAGTCACCAGGAAGAGAACTCCATCATCGTTTCCGATTGTTTTGAGCGTACCACGCTTAGACACGGGGTCTACCGCAGCGGTTGCAGTCAGGTGAGGTAATTGAGAGGCGAGCTTTTCCAAGCCCGTCTTGAGCGACGTGACGATACTCCTGCGTGACTCCTCAGACTGTTCAGTCAGCTTGTAGTGTATCGTTATTCGTGCGTGTATCTTGGGCATGGCCTGGTCACAGCCAGTGATGGGAAAGTCCCTGGGCCCCCTGAGCGCGGGATCAGCCGGCTGGCAGACATACGTCTCTACGCCTGGCGCGATCTTCTGCTCCCATGCTGACTTGGCCATTGTCCTACGTTTGTTCAACTGCTGCAAGTTGTGCAGCAGCCAGGTGAGAAGATCTCGAATCGTCTGCGACTCTCTCACAAGGAGGCGACTGATATCTCGGTTCCCATGCCATGATGTAATGAATTGCACTAGGCCGTGCACATTTGATCCTTCAAGATGGAATACCGAGTCGGCATGTTGTGGTATATGATATGAAGACGGCAAGACCCTTGGATCCTAGCAAGTCTGGTAGACATGCATGGTATGGGCGGCAGGACCCATATTCAGCACTAAATTCGGCGTTGCAAACGCCGATGTCAGCGCCGAATGACAACATTCGCTTAGCCCATGTAATACTATACGAAACATGGTCGCCTTGGTTGATGGCAACGGGCATTCAAATCCTACGCGAGTCAGTCGTTGTCTTTGGGAGTTCAGGATGCGTGGGTCTGAAGAATCGGTATAGATCTTCAGGATCAGATCTTAGTGGGAGTGACAGGACAGGATTAGGAGGCGACCTGGTATTATTTGCCAAAACGTCCAAATATAAGCTCTCGGGGCATTACGTTACCTTTGTGTCTTTGAACCAATAAATACAGTCGGATTAGATTTGTTGCATACGTGTTGTACGCCAGATTTATTTTTGAGTAACAAGTAATTTCTGGGTATTTCGACGTAATGTACTCTGTACCTTTTTATAGAAATTTGTGTAGGTAATCACGTCCCCTATAAGTGGGCACAAGTCCTGGGGCTTGTAATCACTAGCATTCCACTACCTGGTAGGTTGGTACCACCAATCTTGGCGGGGGTGTACCTTTTGTAGTCTCATCCATACAGGGATTCTATCAGACCAGATTCGGCGAAAAGCTGCTAGCCTGGAGGCGCACCTCGTTCGATTTTAGCGGATGATGGCCTGGTTAGCTGCTGTGCCTTACATATTGATGCGCTATCAATGGGTATCGAACATTCGGCAGGACTTCACTCAGCATCCACTTGGAAGGGCTACGAGCATATGTACATCCCCTGTAACCTGGCATTCTAGGTCCCCATTAGTATAGCGCCAGGCAAATGTGTCTTCTAGCGAGAGAGTCCTTTAAAAACATTTCCAACTAAAATGCACTCCTAGAGTCTTTCAAAATATAGCTACTAGGGAAAGGATAGCAGGTTTTTACCTTGAGACATAGTCCTCATTGACCAAGAAACCTACTGTCAACTTGCTTGCCAGAGTGCCAAGCTCGGTTGATCAGACAATCATGTTGGTCGAAAATGCCGGGCTTTTGCTGTCCGCAGCTGTGCCCATCATACTTCTCCCCTATCTCCTGAGCGGTTTAGTCTCTACTTTGAGACTGATCTGGTATACCTCGGGTTTCCCGATCATTAACAAACTGAAAGGCGAATGGTCTGATCAGCCCGCTGTGAAACGCATCGCCCAAGACATGAACACATGGCTTCGAAATGGATATTCCAAGGTAAGAGCGCAGTCACTCACGATTGAAACAAAGTTACTCATCAAGAAACTAGTATACTGGCCCCTTTCAGATCATTGGGTCGTTCGGAAAACGGATTGTGTTGCCTCCTGACATGGCTGAGCACGTCAAGTCTGATCCTCGTTTTAGCGCCGACGAGGTAGTTAAAAAGTCCATGGCATCTACTCTACCGGGGTTCGAGGGCCTACGTGCGACAGATACCCTCACCACCATGATTCGCACCAAGCTGAGCACCAACCTTAGTATGTTTAGCGTGCTTCTCACTACTTTGTTCTGCCAGCATACTTACACTGCGACTCTATAGGCAAGTTCACTCAGGAATTGGTCGAAGAGACTCAAGTGGCATTTGATGAGCGATGGGGCACTAGCACTGGTAAATCATCCACCTTAGTCGTTTGCGTTCGTGGCTAAAATGCGTGTAGAATGGCATGAAGTTGAGTTGTTGGCCAGTCTCCGTGACATCGTCACTCAAGTCTCGACTCGGATCTTCCTTGGCCCTGAGCTCTGCCGCGACCAGGAGTGGCGGGAAAACATTCAGGCATACACAAACAGCGTGTTCTATGCCGTGAGGAAAATCCGCGCCTGGCCCGAGTGGTCTCGTCCATACGTTCAATGGTTCATGGCAGATTGCCGCAAAATCAGGCAACAGGTGAAGCGAGCCGAGGAGATGATTGAGCCCGTCATCGCCAAACGCATCGAAACCATGGAACTGGCAAAAAAGGGACTGGCAGACATGCCAAATGACGCCATGACATGGATGCACCAGATCGCCATGAGTCGAAACGAAAAGTACCACGGAGCTCACGCACAGCTGTCGCTTAGCATGGCATCGGTGCACACAACATCGGACCTTACCTCCAACATTGTGCTTCAGCTCTGCCGGCACCCAGAAGTCATCGAGCCACTGCTGAAGGAGTCACGAGAGGTCCGCGATGAGAATGGCAAAATGTCAAAGACCTCATTGTACCAAATGAAGCTCGCAGACAGTGTAATGAAGGAGACACAGCGAATTAAGCCCCTCGGTGTCCGTAAGTTCTCTCCACCCCTAAGATATCATCAAGCCAAACGCTAACCAATCAGTTCTTACCCATCGATATGCGCATGAAGACGTGTCCCTGCCCGACGGGACGCTCATCCCCAAAGGCGCTCAAGTCAGCATCAACATGTCCAGGATGTGGGATCCAAAGTACTATCCCAATCCCGAGGAATGGCAGCCTGACCGGTTTCTCAAGCTCCGCGAGGAGGCCGGAAAGGAGCATTCTTCGCAGTTTGTGACGACCACGATGGAAAGTCTCGGATTTGGCATTGGCACACATGCGTGTCCTGGGCGGTTCTTTGCGGGGAATAAGGTCAAAGTCTTGCTCGCGCATATCCTTGAGAACTACGAGTTCGAGAGAGTAGACTCTGGGCCCGACGCTTCGCCGTGGTATATCGAGATTGTGACGAACCCCAAGGCGAAGCTGCGTGTGCGGAGGAAGAAGTCTTCCTTTGCATGAGTGTCTCACCCGGTATATAGCTGCAGCTATGCGACATCCTGTAACTTCCTTGTATCGTTACGCGATGGAATGTATTTAAATAAAACCAACGCAAAACTGCAAGTCATCTCACTAGTACTTTAGTACTGTTGATCATCATTTAATTCAGAAATATTGAATTCGCCAATTGTAGAAGTCCTTTTGCAGGCTTCGCTTTGATTTTTGAAGTTTCATAGCTCTAAATCTACCATCGCTTAGCCATATGTTTCGAGCATACCCTTTGCTATTATCGTGTAATGGAAGTCTAGGCCGTGACGATGCGCTTAAAGATTTGCCGTAATGTACTGCAGATCCTTGCTATTTTATAGATTTAAGTTCGCGAATGTTATCAAATTATCATGAAGCGGACCCGGTCTTTGGATATTTGCCGGATCATTGAGACTCGGATTACATCGCAATACACGAAACCGACCCTCTACCACTGGAAATATTGGCATGGCATATCTTTATGGATCTCAAAGGTATATCAAAAGACGAATTTTAACATTTTCAGGATCAAGTCGCTAAACTTGGTACCTCTACGAATACGACAACCCATTTGCCAATGGGCCCCCATGCGCCGACCCATTGCAACCAGCCAACCGTGTATGGGTCTGGGACTACAAAACCACCATTGATGCGCGATCGCAGGACCATAATACATGTGGGAATTATACTCCGTTCCAATCTGGTAGAGTACAAGTAGGTATCCTGATTGGGAATTTCTCGGCCCGTGTCGCATCTCTACAGGTTGTGGACCGGACCGACGAGGGGGTGGCGGGCGCCGTTGGGAGCAGAGCAAAGAGGGTGCGCAAATGCAGATGGGTGCGACAAGGGGTTTGCATTTCAATCCCCCTCTCTCCCAATCATAGCACACCGTTGGATCAGGGTGTTGATACACCTTGCATGCCTCCCAAAGTCTCGACAACCAACAACCAACAAGCAAATCAAAAGCAACCAATTCAAATCCAGCTCTAACAGCATTGAATTTATGCTCTCTTCCAATCCATAGAATGCCGACCAGGAGCTGTCAAGCAATATGATTTCACGACCTCCATTAACATTCTGCCATCATCCAATCAATTACACACTCTCTAATCTCATCAACTGTCGATGAGATCACTCGTCGTGACTTTATTCCATCGCCGCTCTCTTCAAGGCTCAACTCAAATGAGGTTATTGCGAAAATGCCATCATTCATCGCGCTTGGTGTAACAGGCCTCATAGCTGCCTACATCTTCCTTCGCACTCTGGTCTACTTGACGCACGATCCAAGAGAGCCGAAAGTATTGGCCGGGACTATTCCCTTTGTCAGCCCCCTCATTGGTATGCTCACCGAGAAGGGTCGCTATTACGTTCGGATGAGGTATGTCGCTGCGACAAGTCCGGCCTCGCTGGTCCTTCACATTTCTTCAACGATCTGTTGGGTTTGTTAACGACTTCTTTGACTTGTATAGAGACACATATGGACTTCCCATATACACCCTCAAGATGCCGGGAGCATCTCTATACGTTGTGAACTCTCTCCAATTGATACAACGTATTGATCGCCATATCTTGACTGTCGCCTTCTCTCCCATTCAAGCGCGAGTGTGCGACAAGGTAATGTGCGTGAGCAAGAGTGGCATGGCCACCATTGCAGGAGAGAAGGAGGTGACTGAAGATGGCTACCTAAGAAGCTTCCCGAGATCTACAGCACCCGGTACTTCACCAGGCCCCGGGTTGGATTCGCTCAACAGGGCAGCCGTGAATTGCTTCGCCGCATCGTTCGACAAGCTTGCAAAGCAGGAATCTTGCACTGTCAAGCTCTATGAATGGCTACGGCATGAGATATTTGCTTCCACCATGGAGGCGACATACGGGCCTCACAACCCATTTCGCAAGCCCGAGCTGGAACAAGCATGGTTTCAATTCGAGTCTGGTATCATGACACTTTTGATGGATATGTTCCCGAGAATATTTGCACGACAAACACTCAAGACGCGCGAGCTCATGGTAGCAGAGTTCGATCGCTATTTCGAGCAGCAGCGACATCTTGAAGGTTCATTGTTGGTCCAGCTCCGGCAGAAACATAACGCTGCCTTTGGACTCGACAAGGACTCGGCACATATTGAAATTGGTCAAGTTGCTGCTGGTATTGTCAATACTGCCCCAACTGCCTTCTGGACGATTTGGCAAGTTCTTTCAGATCCGATCGTACTGGAAGACTGCCGTCGCGAAGTAACGAATCTTGTAACGACTGACGCGCATGGCGTGTGTGTTATCGATTTGGCACAGGTTAAGACCAAGTGCCCGATCTTGGTGTCAACATGGCAAGAGGTCTTGAGATTTCATGGCATTAGCATTGCTGCTCGAATCATCAAGGAGGATACCTTGGTGGATAACCAGTATCTCTTGAAAAAGGGCGGAGTCTTGCTTATACCAAATGCCGTGATCCACAGTGACCAGACCCTATGGGGGCCAACCGCGGATGTTTTCAACCATAAGCGATTTCTCAAAACCACAAAAGATGAAGCACACCGGTTTCCTGCCGCTGCATTCAGAGGATTCGGCGGGGGTCACGTCTTGTGTCCTGGTCGCCACTTTGCTAGCACTGAAGTCTTGGCCATTCTGGCCTTGATACTCGCGAGATGCGATGTACAGCCTGTTGGCGGGAAATGGATTGAGCCCAAGAAAGACAACGTGATGGATCGGGCTTGTCCGCTTCCCAAACAGGATCTCCAGGTTACGCTGGTCCCGAAGAGCAACCAGCAGTGGCGCGTAGTTTTCTCTAATAACGACAAGGGCATCAATATCGTTGCAGAGGATTTTTGTGAGAAGGGCACTTGAGCCAACAATCAATCCAGTGTAAGGGCAAAGGAATATAGTTGCGGATAGACTATTTGCTGTTTACATCACAAGGTGCAGAATAGTACAATCGGGCTTATAAATGACTAATTATAGCGGCCTTGAAAGCCGTTTGAATGTAGCCGCTAACCACATTCGATAGGGGATCTTAGCTTTTTTCTTTGAGTTTCACTATCTAATGAATTCCGACGATGGAATCCCACTTCTAACACCTATTACAGATATTCAGTTTTAAATTTTATTAGGTACTTACAAGATTGATGCTTTTATCAACTTTCACGGGTTGTACCTTTAAACCGACTAGTCGAAGCTCTTGTAACCCCACGATGAACCCCAGCTGCAGCTCCGGAATGCCATCGACTTAGCGCATAATTCTATTGAGTAGCAACTTCCGCTTATGGTTGTTCTTTTCAATATTTGAGTGCAATGTACGTTGTATATGCGCTCTCTGTGGGCTTTGGCTGCGACGGAAGCAGCACTACTCAGTCTCAGTAATAGGTATATGCTCCTTAGATGTGCAGTGGTTGCCTAGTGGCTATCTCACCCCATGTTATTGGAGAAAGGTTACTATAGTAGCAATAAATCAACATGGTCCCCCCCCCCCCCCCCACTGGACTTACGCAAGCTACTCTGTATTCCGCGCCAAAACATCTCAATTTCATTGACTGAAGCGTCAATCCACTTGTCCAATAAGCATTGATTTTGATCTTCTACTGGATGAAGTAGACTCGTCAAAGGATAGGGCTCGATGAGCAAGAATTGACTTCTTCATCTATAAAGATTGCACCAGCCGGAAATTGGCACAGGTTCCAGGAGATTGAAAAGCCACAAAGGCCATTTGATCCAGTACATCTGGCAGCTCCGTGTGAATTGGCTGTCGGCAGTCTGCTATCCACAAGCACTGGTCTGGACAGATCTATGGATCCTATGTATGATGTCGGATTTCGTCATTTCGACGACAAGATGTAATTTTGGAGTTGCAATTCACAATTAAAGCATCTGATTACTGGGGACTCTTCATTGTATTTTTGCCAATGATTTTCTCTTATATTTCGGAAACTCACAAACCAACAAAGGTGTGCAAAGTGTTGCGCATTGTATTTATTTTCTGATTCATGAGGCGGTACAAAGTACTAGCCAAACGAAGTTTTCAGAGTGTTTTGCGTTATGATATATTAAGATGGTATACAATTAAATAACTACAGATCAATTCTCATAGCTCACAAGAAATATGACCTTTGTGTAATGCTGCTCAGTCCCATAAATAGTAGTATTATATGGCACCTTTTTCGAGAAGTAGTTTCACAATATTTTCGTGGCCCTCAGCCGCCGCTATATGCAATGCGGTTCCATACCCTTTACCCTCGGCGTTCATGTCGGCACCTTTTTCGAGAAGCAATTGCACGATGCTTTCGTGGCCCTCAGCCGCCGCTATATGCAATGCTGTTCCATATACTTTACCCTCGGCGTTAATGTCGGCACCTTTTTCGAGAAGCAATTGCACGGTGCTTTCGTGGCCATTAGCCGCCGCTACATGCAGTGCTGTTCTATACATTTCACTGTTATCGTTGACGTCGGCACCTTTTTCGAGAAGCAGTTGCACGGTGCTTTCGTGGCCATTAGCCGCCGCTGCATGCAGTGCTGTTCCATACCTTCCAGCATTGACGTTGATATCCATGTCTTCAGATAATGACTCCAAGACATAAATATGATCTCTTGATGCCGCTGTTCTATTGATGACATATATGGTTGAATCACTACCCGGTGCTAGCTCTGAGTTAAAATTCATATCATGTGAACCAAGAAGCATAGCTGCTATGGTGTTCAATCCTAGAAATGCGACATAGTAGAGAGGTTTTGGTGCTTCATATGTAAAGCGCCCAGATGCTTCATCGATATTCCATGTTCTGACCCATCTCATGAAATAGGGACCCGTTGTTTGGAACAATGGCCATGACTGCATTTCAATGATAGATTTTGATCCGCATTGTGTAAAGTGCTCTGGCCAGTGACGGGCTGCATATCTCAGCAATGCGCTTTCTTCAGTGACCTTGCTCAAGGCCTTGTTATCCTTTTGTTGAGGGTAAAGTAGCGAAGCTAGGCATATGCCTGCCATGTGCGTGTGGCCTATCTGTCTCTGAACGTGGAAAAGTGCAATAGCTTCGTACTGGAGGATTCGTTTTGCCTCGAGGAATTCCCGTACAGAGAAATGGGCAAGCCGGATGGTGACATCCCGAGTATTGAAATCGGTGTCCACCTCCATGAAGCCAGGGCAAATTTCTTCGAGGGCACTGATATCATTGAACCTCCTCGTGGCGTCGTAACTATAGTCGTGACTACAGTCGCTGTCAATCCTGACAGCCAGAGCGTCTAAAAGCTCTGTATCAGAGAGTGGTCTGATAGCACAACACAGAATGGTCAACATCTGCTTTGCGTAATCGACCAGATCTGGCGCGATATTCTCCAGCATTCGGGCGTACGTATCATCCAATGATTTTGGTAGTGAGTGGAGAAGTTGTTCAAGCAATTGCTGATTTGGCGGGCAACGCGCCAGTGATCTGAATTGGCATTCAACCCAGCGGAACCTACAAGTCATGAGCAACGATGGGAGTTTTTGGTGCTCTTAAAACTTACATTCCATTCGCTCGTTGTGTAAGCGCATCTTGAATGGTATTATGATGCTTCTTCCATTTGGCAAACTTCCGCTTGTCTTGGAGAGTCTGGCGAATGAAAGCGGTGATGTCTTGATCGACTTCGCTGTTCCTCATTTCAATGATTAATGAGGGATCTAGGTCGAGCTCGTCGCGGATATCGACCTCATCCCGACTGGTCACTAAGAGATGCAGCCGAGGCTCTTGCCATGCACGAATATCTGTGAGCAATTGTAGCACAGCCTCTCGGTGCTTGTCCCGTGGGCTCTCATCCAACGCGTCGATGAGTATGTACACGTCCTGGAATGTGCCGATGAGCTGACGGAGGCAACCTAATAGCGCTTCATCAGGCGGTGCAGCCTGTCGGTAACTGTCACGCAGTCGTGCGAGGTGGGTACTCTTAACTGCCTGAGTGGACAATTGCGAAACAAGAGCGCGGAGAAGAGCCGAAGTAGCTTGCTTGTCTTCATCATTGAATGTGAAGAAGAAGAATGCAATGCCAATTTGTGGGTTAGACCTGCGATGCCGGTAGGTATGCTGAATTGCGGTGGAACACAGTACAGATTTGCCGCACCCGGCAAAGCCTCTCAGCCATAGGAAAGAGCGGTGGGATGTCACCCAATCAGTGAATCTCTGACCCTTGACGAGCCAGAGTCCAGTCTGCGGTTGTCTTTTTGCGCATGCTTCATTGAAATTGGTCGTGGCGTCCGGCGCGTTAAGCCATTGCTGTATTCCCGACGAGTCTTGAGAAGACTTGACGAGTTTTAGTAATGCCTTGATATCCTCAACGTCATCCTGGACACGGCCCGTAACCTCTTGTTGCAGTAATTGTAGGGCCAGCTTCAAGCGGTCGACAATATCGTCGACATCTTCGTCAAGTTTTTCCAAAGTACTCCGCCGAAATGGATATGCCACACGGCGGGCTGTCGTTCTGACGGCAGACTGGATGGTACCAACAGGACATTGCTTGAACTTCTCTGCCTCATCCTGTAGCTCCTGAATGCATTCCTCAGACTCGTTGATCAGGGACTCGATTTTCCGAACCGCGTCCTGTTCATCGGCTCGAAACCGGCGGCCATCGATGCGATGCTGAAGAGATCCTAAAATCTCCAACAGGCTGTCCAACTTTCGGATTGTGTGCGCAACGTCGCTGTGTTGAGACTTGACTGCATTGTAATAATCGAAGAGAGACTGTGCGACTTGGATACCAAGTGAAATGATGCCAACAGCGCTTCCCGCCACGGACAGTGGGTCTGCCATTTTGCCGTGGGAGAAGTCTCATATGATGACTCAATAATCGCTGGTGTCGACATCAGCAATCATGAGGTGGACGACCCGATGGCATTCAGAAGAGATCTAAGATTTGTCCACTGGGGCTGTGGAAAGAGGGGTTGAGTGGTGCAGCTCACTCAGCCTTACGATGCAGAACATGCATCAATCCAATTGGCTATAACATGTTACAAGAGGGGATGTCGGCGCCTACGCTGCAGCAGCTGCATCGTGAACAGGTGCAATTCGACACATAAAAGGCTTTGAATCAGATTGATCCCGACGGACGAACGTGATTCAGCCTGGTGCAAAGCATCACACAAATAATGTAAACCTATTCTCCTAGAAGCCAAACTATTCCATGTCTTGGGCGATAAGCACTTGGCAAGGTCAAAAACCAATCCGCCATTTGCACATTGTATGTCAATTCGCAAGCTGCGACAGCTTCGCGGGCCGAAATGAAAGAAATGAGCGACTGATAATAAGTGTACCGAATTGTTTCCTTCATGATACGTTCAAAATCTAAGACAGGATAAAATTAGCGGGGCTAATAGGCAACACGGAAACCTCTAGCGCTAACCTAGGTACCTACCTATCAATGCACTGGGTAGGACACCATGGTGCATACCTTAGGTAGGTATGTAAGAACTATCATCTGTTATCTGGCACTTTGATTATTAATGTCAAGCGAATTGAACTTTTGCATTGCCATGATTTTATTTGTTAGTATCCTCTCCTGAAAGCGGGCTGCATATTTCACGTAATATGGCTCTCGCTGAATTTGTCGGGCGGCCTTTGTCAGACATCCTTGCAATTAGGCAACCAATTTCAGCTGACCACACATTTACTATTGCGACCACTGCTATGCCGGATACATAGTCAACAGCTTCGTCTTCGGAAAGGAGTCCTACGTCCCAAGCATCGATCATGCGCTTGCTTCAATCAACGCCTCATGGATTCAAACTCACAAAGGATTTTCTTCAAGATGATATCCCTTCATACGCTATCCTTTCGCACACGTGGGGGCCCGATGATGATGAGGTCACCTATAGAGATCTGTGCGACCAGACTGGCGTCAACAAGCCGGGCCACTGGAAGCTACAAGTTTGCAGCAACCAAGCCTCTCGCGACGGCCTCGAGTATTCCTGGATAGATACCTGCTGCATTGATAAATCCAGCAGTGCCGAGCTTACAGAAGCGCTCAACTCCATGTTTCGATGGTACCAGAATGCCGCCAAATGCTACGTACTCCTGTCCGATGTCTTAAGTCCTTTTCCAGGTCCTCCAGCCGAATTGCCATCCGCTTTCTGGACGAGCAGATGGTTTTCTCTTGGTTGGACTCTCCAGGAGCTCCTTGCTCCACGCCATGTTGATTTCTTCTCCGCCGAAGGTCAATGGTTGGGCAACAAGACATCTTTACGCCAGTCGATTCATGAAATTACGGGCATTCCTCTCGCTGCACTTCGAGGACTTGCCCTGTCCGAGTTTACCGTGGATGAGCGGAGACTTTGGGCGGCGAATCGCACAACCAAGCGTGAAGAGGACATGGCTTATTGTCTTCTTGGCATATTTGATGTTTTCCTCCCGCCGATATATGGAGAGGGGATGCAGCACGCGTTGGAACGACTTGAAGAGGCAATTCAAAAACGTTGTTCTGGCACGTACATACTTTGCAGGTTTCGAATCTTGGGCGGACTTCTGTTACTAACAGTCAGAAGCAGGTAGAAATAAAAAGAGACCTTCTGCCTCTTTCCAGTCAACAGCTACTCGTCAAAGGATGGACACCATGGAGGTGGGTATCACTTCTTTGTAGCCTGACCAAGATATCAAATTCATTAGTGGAATCTAACAGGTATCCAGGTAAATCAGGACACTTTGCCTGGCCATAACCTTTTCTTGTCGTCATCCGAGCAAGAAGCGGCGGATCAGTCACAAGAACAAGAAGAGACAGCTAAAACCGGCCAGGGAGATATCCAAGTCAGAACCTCGGTCACAGATCCTGCCACTGGGCATGTGCATGCCATGCTCCTGGAAGCTGCTGGCTCAACGAAAAACCTAGAGAATATCGCAAAAACGAGACAAAGACTCTTGGACATGCTTCGTTTCCCTGAGATTGATGATCGGTTAATCAATTTGAAAGAAGCTACCGGAGGTACCTGCCAATGGTTCTTACTCAAACCGGAATATGTATCCTGGCAGTCCTCGCAGGATCTAACGCAACACAACAGATTCCTTTGGATCAAAGGCAAGCCCGGAACTGGCAAGTCTATCCTGATGAAGTTTCTCTACTTTGATGTTAAAAGACAACAAACTGCGACCCCTGACTCTCTCGTAATCCCCTTTTTCTTCAATGCTCGGGGATCTGAGTTAGAGAGATCAGTTGTCGGCTGTTATCGCTCTCTACTCGTTGAACTCTGCGTGAAGTTCCCCGGAACTTTGGACGTGCTGGATCAGTTGGGAAGTAATGCTGTTACCACGGTGGTTCGCAATGGTTGGCAACTTGAGCCATTGAAGAAAGTTTTCAAGTCTATCATCGCAAGGCTGAAAGATATGCCTATTTTTCTCTTCATTGATGCACTTGACGAATGTGCTGGGATGAAGTAGCTGAAATGGTTTTTTTTCCTCGAGGAGCTCTGTAGTTGCGCCACTACGAAGTTGCACATCTGCTTTTCTAGCCGCCATTACCCAAACATCATGGCTTCCTATGGAGACGAGATCATTCTCGAGGATGAAGTCGAGCATCAAAAAGACCTTGAAAGCTACATAGAAAGCAATGCTCGTCTACGAGGCTACAACCAGGCTGCTGCGCTCAAAATCGAGCTTCTACAGAAATCGTCAGGGATTTTTCTCTGGGTGGCACTCGTGGTGCATATCCTGAATAAAGAATTCGCCAACGGCAGGACAGCCAACCTACGACAGCGGCTACGGGAAATTCCTCCGGATCTCAATAAGCTTTTCGAAATGTTAATCGCACGGGACAGTGAGAACTTGGAAGAGTTCGACTGTTGCGTTCGTATCATTCTCCTCGCGAAAAGGCCACTCAGTCCACAAGAGCTATACTTTGCTCTCCAGCAGAAGCGAAGTGCAATGAAGAGTCTCACGTGGGACCGATTAGAGACATCATACGATGATATGAGACGATTCATTCTGGGCTGTTCGAAAGGCCTGGCTGAAATCGTCAAGTCGCAAAGCGAGACTGTTCAGTTCATCCACGAGTCTGTCCGAGATTTCATTGTCGATAGAAGCACTACTTCCGGGCCACAAATCCGCTCCATTGGTGTTGTTCAATCACATGGACATGAGATGATGCGCGACCTATGTATGCGTCAACTTAGTTCACTGCACGACAGTGTTCGGGATTTACAAAAGCCATTGGGAGCTATTTCATTCCAGCAAGCTCGAGACGACATGCCATTTTTGAACTATGCTATCGACAACATCTTTCATCATGCGAATTGCGCACAAGGTGAAGGCCACGATCAACTAGAGTTCATCGCCACCTTCCCCTATTCGTTTTGGATCGAGCTCAGCAACCTTTGCAGAGAACCCTGGCATAACCGATCTTCGCGCGCACACCCTCTGTACCTGTTTGCCGAGCATAACCTGCAACACTTGATTGCGGTCCATCCTGAACTTCAACTTCAATTCAAACTTGAAGGTGAGCGATACGGTTTCCCGATTCTGGCAGCAGCAGCGAAGCAAAACGAAGAGGCTTTCAAAGTACTTTTGCAAGCATTTTCAAACGTACCAATCCGGGACGAAAACGTCCGTCAAATCATGAATAGTTTCGAACATGGTACGAATTTTCTCTACCAACACGGCGAAGCACTACTCATATATCTCCTCGACTTTGACTGGAAGCCAGCCTTGGAAGGTTACTTTCAGGCTATTCAAATACATCAAACCCCTGCCTTTACTGGCGAACTGGGTTTCGAGATATTGACGTCGCCAAATGCGCAAAAGTACATGGATTTGCTGGTTGCTGGCGGCGTAGACCTCAACTCTCGCAATCATCGTGGTGAAACGGTCATCTTTCATGCTGCTAGGAAATGGAACTTGGAGGCAATTTCTTTCCTAATATCCCAGCTTCATGTGAACCCCGATTCAAAAGACCAGCAAGGGCGAACCCTTCTATCACATGCCGCAGGAGCAGCTGATGATGGAGCTTTCAACTTTCTTCTGGGACTGCGAAATGTCGAGCCGGACTCTGTTGACTGTAAAGGCATATCCCCACTCCAATATGCTGTGAAGGCGGGCCAAATGAATCATGAACATGACGCACGGCTTGCCATCATTCGCGCTCTATTGATGACAAGGAATGTCAATATTCTGCGGTGTTCGCCTTCTTCAGACTCCGCCATGAGTATATCAAGAGACATACTACGACATCGAAAGAGATACCTACACAGAATCTACATTGGAAAACCCCTAGAACAGCATGTTATAGACTTACTCCAAAAGTTTATAGATGAAGTAGAAGGTCAACGGGGAGGATGAATACAAGTGCACTCATACGCTTGATATTACTGCTCTCCAAGGCCGAGTCCGCTGCTCTGCTATCCCACTTAAACAAGAGGTACCGCAGCGCCGGTGGTCGAGATCCGTTCCGCACAGGGTGCTTGGTACCTAGTGTAGCACTTGAGGTAAGGATACGCTACTAGAACAGGTGCTATCTGCCAGCTGCCCACGCCCAGCAACCAGCAACCAGCTACAGCAATCAGCAATTGGACCCAGTTGCCGCCGCAGTCAGTTCACATGTTAGTGGACACCCCCACCCACGCTCATGCTGCCAACATCACATCTCCCCGAGGCAACCCCCAACAACTGGCGAAGTCATGGCAAATGTCTAGATTGAGGTATGCCTCGACAACAATTGTATTTTTACTTGCCATGTCGCGCACTCCCAAATCTCATGCATTCCTGCTTTCCAAGCCACCGGCAACATTCTTGTCCAATAACAAAGCCGTGATTGATCGTCCAGTCATCACAAATTTGACCTTATCCACTTCTCAACTCGACTCGCGTATTTGGCACCGTATAGAAAAGGAGCTCTATTCACATACATCTCAGAAGTCAAAGCAGAATGCATGGGTCCATGTCAAGATAATTGATGAGGGGAAGATCTCAGTGGATGATCTCATAGTTACAGACGTGCGAGTGGGTGATTCACCTCCTGACATTAGCTCAGGTCTTTCATGGGAGAGTCGACCTTTTGGAGTCTGGATATCAAGAGGTAACTTCACTGGTAATATCGGACAGGCCATCACAGAGGTAGACGTCCTCTTTGGCAAGGATGCCGTTGATCCACGGCCCCACTGGCATCTCATGCAATCGCCGCTGCAACTAAACGCTGAGCCCAAGACCCCAGATGCAAGACTGACTGTACTTCATGGAAGAGGCAGGCCAGGCTTGGACGCGCGACCGATTTTGAGAGCTCAGGACGATGGTAAATTCAAAATCGTTCAGCTCTCCGACACGCACATGGTTACGGGCGATGGGATATGCCGTGATGCTATCGATGAGGAAGGCAGGAAACTTCCCGAAAGCGATGCCGATCCACTGACGGTCGACTTCATTGAAAAGATACTGGATATTGAGCACCCAGACCTGGTAGTGCTTACTGGAGATCAGTTGCACCATGACATACCTGACAGTCAATCTGCTCTCTTCAAGGTGGTTGCGCCAATCATCAAACGTTCCATTCCGTTCGCGACCGTTTTTGGCAACCATGATAGTGAGGGCCGTCACGCATTATCGCGTGAGTCAATTCTTCTCTCCTTGTGTAGACAGACGGTCGAGTAAACCGTCCTTGGACGAATGTCCCTGTCCATCACCTATTCAGCCCTGCTTACCAGATTCCAGGTACGGCACAGATGTCAATACTGCAGGATTTGCCATTTAGCCTCTGCGAACCAGGCCCTGAGCATGTCGATGGCATTGGCAACTTTTGTCTCAAGATTCTGGCCCCCGCCCCATCAAGGTGCCCACTCTCAACCTTGTATTTCTTGGATTCCCACGGACAAATACCTAGCGAGATACACAATCCTGATTATGAACCGATTGCGCAAAACCAAATTGATTGGTTTACGGACATCTCCAAAACGCAACGGACGGCACGTGAGAAGGACAGTGGAAACAGCGGCTTCTACCCGTCTCTTGTATTCTTGCATATCCCATTACCTGAATTCGGTGATCCTCATCTCCTTGTGAGCAACGGTCGCCGGAGAGAACCAACGGAAGGCCCCAGCGTCAACTCTCACTTCTACGATGCCTTGGTTAGAGAAGGGGTATCGGCGGTAGGTTGTGGGCACGACCACGTTAATGATTTTTGCGCTATCCTACCGTCTCACGAGCAGCAGGATGTTGCCGGAAAACTTGGGGCTGGCCCGTATCTTTGCTATGGAGGCAGTTGTGGATTTGGAGGGTATTGTTCCTACGGCAGAGATCGATTTCATCGAAGGATGCGTATATGGGAACTTGATACGGCTTCCGATAGTTTGAAAACTTGGAAACGAGTTGAATATGCCAAAGAGAGAGTTGATGAGCTGTGGCTTGTGCAAAATGGGACGATAGCTCTTCCACCTGAAGAGAAGCGAGACAAAGGCTGTGTCGTGGCTTGATTCTATATTTTTAATGGTATATTTCATTGTCCGGGTACGCCATGCTCTTGAGCTTCTTCGCAAGCAATTACGACAAACCGGGCGTCGCCTCCTGCTTTCTAACCAAGTCCAGATTTTCCCGTCCACTCTTCTGTTTCTTTCGCACCATTCAGACCTTGCTAGTAGGATCTAGTGAACATAAGGGTCATACGGATGGTTCTGGCTATACTGAGGTGTTGTTCCGACGGCAACTTGTTGCGGATATCCCGAGTACTGCGTGGGCATGTTGGGCTGCATCTCGACTTCCGGGTGATGGTACGCCACACTTGTGTTACCCGGTCCTCCCACCCGCTTCTCAGCATCATAATCATTCGAGGACCAAGAAAGTCGAAACTTGTGACAGACATAGCTAAAAGTTGCGACAAAGAGTAACCTGGTTCCAAAGGTCAAGATGGTCAGTCCATTTGCTATGGCGAATTCCTGCAACAATATACTCACATAATGATGGCGCAAATCCCGGCGACAGCACTCATAATGTCGAGCGCGGCGTACGATGCGACACCAACACCAGCTCGCTTGCGGGAGATGGTACAGTGGCCCGAGTTGACGGCGCTACCGTCGCTGGTGCAGTCGGCATTGACGGGTACGGTGAAATCCGCGCGCTTTGCTGCCACGGCGCCCATGGCCGACAGCCAAAAGATGATCATGAGGCCATCGAGCGATAAAATCGCCCACGTATTGTATGCTCTGCGGCAAGTCGATACGTTTTCGGTTACGATGGCGTATACGAAAATAATCCAAGTGAAAAGACTCTGTTTGTCAAGGCCATGTTAGACTTGTCTCTTGTGGTTCATGAACGAGAGCTCATATAACTTGGGCGTGGATCATAGAGACATTAAATACACTTACACAAACAATTGCAAATCCGAGGCTGTCCTCGTAAAGGCCATGGATAAACCATCCAGCACCACCGACTACGATGATTGATAGGACTAGTTGAAAGATCCTTGCGACGAGAACCCACGTGGGTGTTGGTATGACTGTCTTGCCGTCGTTTGCCATGTTGCCTATCCTTGGATAGAAAATTGGGTCAACTGGTGAGGTAGCGACTGATGAAGAGAGTGGTATTAGTATTGACGAAGGACCACCAGTATTAGTTCTATTTTCTCTGAGGGTAATGAGGGCAAAGAAAGAAGAGAAATCAGAGCAGCGTCACCGCAATTTCTTAAACTGGGCGACATTTAGTTTCTATAAGTTGCGACAACTTCAAGAATACGAGACGCAACTCTCTCATGAGATGCCTTTCCTCCTCAATCTAGTCCTAGATCAGCCAGCAATTCCAAAAGTGCGCTACTTTATCAGTGAAGTTCGCCTAAGCGACACATATTCAGTATAGTTTGAGCAGCAGCCTGCAACGCAAAAACGCCCTCAGGACCCTGGCTGCATCGGTAGCTCGTTCAGCCGCACCCTCAGCTGCTCAGCCCCCTTCCCGAGAGGGAACAGGCGCGTTTTAAGGTTGAATTCCAAGTTGCCATGGCGGAATTAAGCCGTCGATTTATCTATGATAGTTGGAGGTTGGTATTCGTTTCAATTCCCGAGCTCCATTGATGGCCAGGGCCTGTGCTTTAAGCTTTTGGTGATCTCGCTGGGGCAGTAGATTCTGGCCTCTAGCGTGTAAACAACAGAGAATATATGATCGTGCAACTCAGGCGCCGAAGCTATGCTCATTCCCAGACAGAAGTTTTAGAGAATTCTGCCTGAATCATCACCAATAGACTATTACAAAGCTTGGCCCAATGTCCTGCGTTGTTGCAATGGCGCTCTCAATGGTATGGTCGTGATCCAGCTCATGGTGGCAGTGAAGACCATACTTTTCAGGGACTGTTTTTTTTTTTTTTTTTTTTTTCTCAATAATTTAACGCCAAGTCTATGGGACAAGATGAGCCAGAATGATGCGCAATCACGAAACACAAATGTGACTCGACAAATCATCCCAACATTTATGAATCATCATGAATCTACAACAATATGGAGCAGGCAACAAGCCAATTACACTGGCCTAGCGCCATGGTATACTTCTTCTAGTGGGACTCCTTGTCGATAAGAGAGGTAAAATGTGGGGTGGAGGGGTAGGCCGAAGGGTTCTCACAGATGGAAGGCGTCACTGCCCAAAGTGGCGTTGAAATTTTTAGAATATTTCCCTTCCACATGCAACCTGTGTGACTCAGTTGAGAAGAGTCGAGCCAAGTACAAGAGGACAGCTCGAGTCTGTCTCTTTTCTTCTTTTCTTTTTATCCGAACAAAGTATACCACAGTAACGAGAGACTTTTTTCCTCCATTTGCGACACACACAGAAGCCGACAATGGCTGATCAGGAAATCGGTTCCGCTGCTGCGGCTCACGAACCGCCCCACGTCTACAAGGCCAACGATGGCTACGATGCATCCGTGCGGCAGGAGGTTCCCGCCACTCTACAGACCTCGACTACACAAGAACTGATCGAGGATGACGAGGAAGACTACGACGAGATCTTCAACTCCGACGATGACGACCTCGACGACGACGGCGCTGGCAACCTGACCAAGAACTACAACCGACAGAGACAACTCATCGATGGAGGCGCCGCAGTGCCAAGGTCAAACCAACAGAAGCCCGCTGCCAACACTTTTGCCAGCGTCGACGATCAAATCAAGACACTTTCCAAGCATGCTGCCAAGATTCGTCTCGACGATGTCAAGGAATCCCAGGATAGGGACAAGGACAAGGCGGATCGCGCCACGAGCGAGCAAGTTTTGGACCAGGGAACCAGAATGATTCTTCTGCGACTCATCCACAAGGGAGTCGTGGGCGAGATCAATGGTGCCATCAGCACAGGAAAAGAGGCCAATGTCTACGGCGCAGTTGGCGAATTTGACGGCGTCCGCCTCAACAGAGCCGTCAAGATCTACAAGACTGCCATTCTGAGCTTCAAGGACAGAGAACGATACATTACTGGAGAGCACCGTTTCAAGTCTGGAGCTGCCAAGGGCAACAACCGCAAGATGGTCCAGCTTTGGGCTGAGAAGGAGTTCCGCAACCTTCGGAGGATACACGCCGCTGGCATCTCATGTCCAGAGCCAATTCAGTTGAAGCTGCATGTCTTGGTCATGGGTTTCCTGGGAGACCGCAGAGGCTACGCCTACCCCAGATTGCACGATACTCGCATTGACGGAGATGACGCCGACCAGGTATGGAGGTCCCTGTACCTCCAGCTTATGGGAGTTATGCGCCGCATGTATCAGGTCTGTCGCCTGGTCCACGCTGATCTCAGCGAGTACAACATTCTGTACCATGACAGGAAGCTGTACATCATCGATGTATCCCAGAGTGTTGAGCATGATCATCCCAGATCTCTAGAGTTTTTGCGCATGGATATCAAGAACACAGGTGACTTCTTCAGGAGGCAAGGCGTGGACACGTTAAGTGATCGGACGATTTTCGACTTTGTCACAGCCTCTGAGGGGCCAGTGGAAGAACCCGCCATGCTGGAAATCCTCGAGAAGCTGTACACGACAAGATCGGCTGTGGATGACACTGAGGATGCCAGAGCTCAGGAAGAAATCGACAACGAGGTCTTCAGAAACCAATATATCCCCCAGACCCTTGAGCAGGTATACGATATCGAAAAGGATGCGCAGAAGATTGGAGCTGGTGAGGGAGACCAGCTGGTCTACAAGAACCTTTTGGCTGATCAAGCTGTTGCTCCTGGTACGACACCCACAGAGGACGAGGCAACAAGCTCAGAAGGCGATGAGGAGGAAGGTGCTGCATTGGATAGCGATGACAGCGAGGATGAGAGCAGATTTGAAAAGGGCACGCCGCGAGGCAAGCGCTTCATTGATAAGGAAGAAAAGAAGTCGCACAAGCAAGCGGTCAAGGAAGAAAAGCGGGAAAAGCGGAAAGAAAAGATGCCCAAGCACCTCAAGAAGAAACTTGTGTCATCTACCTCGCGGAGAAAGAAATAGAGGCACAGGTGCAGTTTATTGAATAACGAAAGAGTTGGTTTTGAGCGACACACGCCTCACCTACCTCTATGAATAAAAAAGTAAGCTTGTTTCTCTCATTGTTTCTGGCGACTCCATGCCACTTGATTGAGGCTGTGCGTGATGGCAAACATGCGCCCAAGGAATGTGTCAATCAAAATCGGATGATGAAACTCGAATTACACCAGTCTCGACCAGGTTTTCGCTGCGTTTTCGTCTTCGGGCAATAACCGCAAAACTTGGTTGGACAACAATGGTGGTCTGATCAGCTTCATCGGCTGTCTGATGTCAAAGAAGAGCTCTGACGATTACTTGTACCATTCGATTCGGGATATGGGCATTGCAGGAAGCGTGTCTAGATGAATGACGGTGCATTATGACATAAAACCCGGAATAAAAGTGTTTCCACAACAGTATCAGGATCCATTCAATTCAACTATAGTGTACCCCAATATTTGATGTGCGTGCGACTGGACACTAGTGAGTCAAGAAGGGAAATAAGGGAAATATGGCTTTGTCGTACAATGATGGAAAAAGACTATGTTCACATACACAACTGCATATCAAAACGATTCATTTCGATACTTGAATGTTTCTTATTGGTAAATATCCTGAATTGCTACTTTTGTCTCAGATGAAAAGTGTGATGGTTGTGCGAATAAGATTTCGTGGTGTCTCGATAAATCCTTCCAACGCCATGAAGATGCGTAACTTGAAACTCAAAACAAAAGAGAAACCCAAAACGATGCTGCGCCAGACGATTCTTAAATGTCACCTTCCTCCTCGGACAAGAACCCGAGCCCACTGTCATACTTTCGTCTCTTCCTACCCGCCCCACCGCTTGCCAGCATCGATGATTGCGACGACGAGCCGCCGGCAGAGCTCCGCGTACTGCGGCGGCCAGCCGCGCCACCCTTCTTTGGCGTCGCCAGGATACCCTCGCTCATCTCCAAGACCCTGGCCAGCTCGGCCTTCATCGAGTCAACAGCCTCCTTGGCCTTTTTCCTCTCGCCGTCAATGCTATTCTCCAGGCCGACATTCTGGACACGCAATTGGCATATAGTCTCGTGCGCTGTCCGGAGCGCCGCGTTGATGCCGTCAATCTCGCCACGCAGCTCCGTCACCCGTGCGTCGCGGAGCGCCAGCGCTGTGCCGTGCGATCGGTTCAGGGCGGCTCGCTGCGACTGGGCATCAGCGAGCTGCTTCTTGATCTCCGACACCTGCGACAAGAGCGACGCGATCTTGGCCTCGAGTTCACGGGCGCTGTTGTCCTTGCGCTTAATCTCCTGCTTCCCGGCATCCACCTCGGACCGGAGCTTTTGCACGTTGCTCTGTCCTTCCTCCTCGATCCTCTGCACCAGCGTCTCCAGCTCGGAAATGTCGCGCCGGTAGCCCTCAATGGCACCCTTGAGACGGTCGGCGCCAACTTCGAGCTCGGCGATGCGCGCATCCTTGCCCTCCAGGCGGGCAGTGCTTCTCTGTGCCTCGCGCCGGAGACCGTCCATGGCCTCTACACGGGCGCCTAATTGCTGCCGCAGCGTTAATTCCAGGGCATGATACTCGTCAATGGAGGCCTCATCCTCTTTGACCTGGCGGGACAGATCTCGCAGGCGGACTAGCACCAGATCAAGGACCTCGGCGCCATGCGACGACAGCGGCAGGGTAATTTCCCCGGGTGTAAGGTATTCGAGTTCGAGCCTGGCGGTCCTCAGCGCATTAGCGATGGATGCTACGATCTCAAGAGAGTCGCCACCTCGAAAGCCCAGGGCGCTCAATGAGGAGTTGATATCGAGGAGGCCAGCCGTCTTGTCTGATAGGCTTTGGAGGACTTGGTCGAGGTGTTCTTCCATGTCCCGATGACGGTCTAGGGACGTGGGCAATTGCACTTTGGACAGCTTGTTGGAAAGGCGTTCGCGCTGGCCTTCATGGGATGCTAGGGTGTCGTTGAGCTTTGTCAGTTCGAGACGCAAAGAGCCTAGTTCTGCCTCCAAAGCTTCTTTCTCGGGGTCTGGAATTTGTGCCTGCACACCAGTATGTGATGAGGGAGGGATCGGCTGGCGTCTCATGGACGGTGGTGTAATGGGCAACATTGGACTCGTACACGGCGGCGTCGGAAATGACGACCGCGCTCTGGTCGGTGTGCTGCATACCAGATCCGCCATTGTAGTGTCGCCAAATGCGTCTTCATCTACATCGTCCTCTTCCATGTAGCCATCGGTGAAGGGATCTTGCGCCGCCATGGTCCAATCGAGCCGTGTCTGGTCTGCTGGCTCGGGCTGGTTGTTGTCAAGCTCGGCTCGCAGCCGGTCGATCTGCTCCTCGAGCTGCAGGATGCGCTCGGTATCCTGCACGACCGTTGCGTTCCTGAGACCCTCGATCTCCTCGTCTCGCTGTGCGAGTTCGCGGCGCAGGCGCTGGATTTCCGATGTCTGCCGTTGCGCGCGCTGCCGCTTTTCGCCGTCGATAATGTTCATCTCCTCGCTGAGGCCATTGCGCCGTATCCTCCGCTTCACACGGTCGTCGAGGACCTGACGCAGGGAGAGGAAATGCACCTCGTTGGATGTGTCTTGGGCATCTCCATCAACACCACTCTGCAGATCACCCGAGGTCGAGTGTCTTCTTCTCTTGGACGGCACCGCATTGCCCAGTGTGGTCCGGCGAACCATGGGCGTCAGCCCGGTAGAGGATGGCGAGTTGTGGGAGGCGATCTCTGGGCCCGGGTCAGAGAAGCGCACCCTCTTCTTGGTCCGGGTCCGGCTGGGCGTCTGAAAAGTAGATGCCGGCGACGAATTCGCGTCTGTGGATACCATATCAACTGTGCGCGCATCGCCTTTGCTCCGCCGCGGGGTGCGCCGCAGGGCAATTGGTGCATCGAGATCCTCCCGCATGTTTTGACAGCTTTCCTTGCTCAAATTATACCTGGATGGAGATGTATGAAGTGAGGCTGGAAAAGATGACTGTAGTCTCTAGCACTTGACTTAATAAAATGGATCGACTATATCAAAAGGGAGGATCATCCATTGACCACTCGCGTGTCACGAAAGTAAACAAGCTTAGCTGCCCCTCCATGTTTGCATAGTTGGTGGGACCCGGACGGACCATGTTTACTTACTTCCGATTGGGGAATAGCGGCCCAAAAGCGACCTTGACACCGTGTGGCGACGGCCAATCAAGTCAAGCATCTACGCAAGGGGTTTTCCTTTTCTGGCCCGTCATCTAAATAGATCTCTTGCCAGGACATTAAATAGTCTATTCGCGTCTCTCTTCAAATCGGGTCAATCAAAACACCTTGTCAAGCATTACCCAAATTAATAGATACAAACGCGTCGTATTTATGGCAACGGAAGACGTGTATCCATATAACCTAATATTATAATACTAGCTGACCTTATTAGCCAGATTTTTTTTGCTTACGCAAAAAAAATATTAATAATAGCAAAACCGCGACCGATAGCAAAATCCAGGTATTAAAAAATACCGTAAATAATAATAATACCGTAAATAATAGTAAAATTTAAAATTTTAAAAATACCGTAAATTATAGGAAAACCGCGGTAACGCTAAAATCGTAAATAATATTAAAATAATTAAGCTTAAAAATACCGTAAAAAGTCGTAAATATATAAAATCGCTTTTATTATTAAAAATTTATATATAGCCGAAAAACCTATATAATTACTAAAATTATCGTAATTATTATAATCGATTTTAATTAAAATATTTAATTTTTAATCGGGCTTAATTTTAATTATATAATTACGCGTAAATCGGATTTATTATAGCTATTTTTATATTTTCCCGCGTTTTTTAGCTATATAATTTTAAGTTTTTTAAATTATTATTTTCCCGGTAAATTGCTAATTATTATAAATTTTTATTTTATATTTATATATATTTTTTATAGCTAATTTATTATAATAATCGTATTTTTAAACCGTTTTTACGCTAAATACGATTTTTTTAAAATTTTTATAATTAAATACGGCTATTTAGGCGTATATACGCCTTTAGGCGTAATTTTAACGTTAATAACCGTATTATATAATATTATTATATTTATAATAATTATAGCTTTTTTATTTTATAAATATTATTAATTTATATTAACGCTATATTCGGCTTTTAAAATTAATTTTATATTAATTATAATTTTTTTATATTTTTTACGATAAAATAGCGTCGAATAAAATTATATATAATAGCAAATTAAGTATAATTAATTTATATTAACGGCTTTAAATTTTTTAAATTTTTATTATATTTTTTTTAATTATTTCCGGCACCGAAAAATATAAAATTAATATTAACGATACCTTATATAATTTCCGTATATTATTATTTTTTTCCTAGCTATATTCCTAGATTATTTTAATTATATTTAACGATAATTAACGCTTTTCGGGCGCTTTCGACGCTTTTTTACGCCGATCGATTATAATTTTTAAAAAAACTAAAACCTAAATTAAAAAAAAATTTAAATAATTTCGTAATAAAATTTCGGCTTTAAATAAAAAAACCTAAATAATATAAATTTTAGCTAAAAATTATAAATAAAATTATAAAAGCGAAAAAGCCAAAAAATAAATTACCGAATCCCGTATTAAAGCCGTAAAAGCTTATATTTGCGATTTTAAAACGTTAAAAAAGGTATAAAAGCCTTTTCCGACCTTTTCCGTAACCGGAAAAGCTTTTTCGACCCCGGTTAAGCGTAAATTTAAAATTATCGATATAAACGCTATTATTATATTTATTAAAAACCTGCGAAACGGTAAATAATTTCCGTTTTTTTATAACGCCGAAAAAATTAGAAAAATTACGATTAACGCCGAAAAAAAAAATTTATTTTTATTTTTTATAATAATTATAAAAGCCCGAAAATCCTTAAATAAAATAATTTAACCATATTCGCCTTTTTTAAAATCCTTAATAATATATTTAAATTTATTAAAATAATCGGCAAATTTTAAATATATAATAAATTTGCCGATTCCGGAAAATATCGAAAATTATTAAAAATATATTAACGGTAATTTATAATAACGTTAAAATAAAATTTCGCTTTAAAATATATTTTAAATTTATTTTAATAATAATCGTATTAATATCGATATTTAGCTAAATTTTAATTTAAAATAAATTTTTAATTATTTTTAACCGTTTTTAACCCCGAAAAATAGCGAATAATATTAATTATAAAAAAAATAATAGCATTAATATTATTAATATTAAAACCGGTTTAATAATTATTTTCGGCGTTTTTTTAGCTAAATCGGAAGCTTATAAACGCTATATAAAACGTAACGGCCTTTTTTAATTTTATATAGTTATAAAAAAAATCGAAAATAAAGCTTATAATAATTATTATTATAATAATTAAAAAAAATAATATTTTTACCGCTTCGGTAAATATATAAAAATAATTTTTTAACGATTTCCGACCGCTAATTTACCCGAAAAATTCTATTAAGCGTAGCTCGAAAAAGGCTTTTAAAAAAAAAAACCTTTAAGCGCTTTTTAGCACTTTTTAACCTTATACGACCGGTAATTTTAATTTAAATAATATTTTATAATTATATATTAATTAAAATTATTAAAAAATTAATAGGGATTTATAACCTTTTTTAATTATATTCGGCTTTTCCCGGTCGTTTCCGGCGTCGATAATTTATTTTTAAAATAAATTATATTATAAAATTTTTCGCGTATTTTTATATTTTTTTATTATATATTTCTGGCTTTATTCGACGATAATTAGTATTTTTTAATTATTTTCGCAGCCGTTTACGTATTTTCTAAAGTAAACTAAATTATAAACCTTTTAGTATTTATATTTTTTAACGTTTAATATTATATAACGTTTTTTAAGGGTTTCCGATTTTAATCGGGCGGAAATAAATATTTTTTAATAATAATAATATTTATAAAGCCGGCGTATACGCCTTAAATAATTTTATAAAAATTATAAATTTAACTTTTTTAACCCGAAAACCTGCTTTCGTAACCGATTTTGCCTTTTTAAAAACTAATTATTTTTATTAAATATATAAATTAAAATTTATTATAAATAATAAATTCCGAAATTCTTTAAATACGCTAAAATTAATTTATATAATTTAAATATTTAATTATATTTTTTTTATAAACGTTAGCATTTTTAAATAAACGATATTATTTATAATAATAGGTTTTTCGTTTAATAAAACTCTTAATTTCCCGATATTCGTTAATTAAAATATTATTATATAAAATTAGCCGTATATAAAAACCTACGTTTATAAGTCGATATTTATTATATTAAAAAATTGCTTTTAAAATTTATTAATAATTATAAAAAAGTTAAATTATACCGGAAATTATTTATAAAATTACGGAAACGGCTAATTATCCCCATTTTAATTTAATTATAAACGTAAAATCGGCTTTATTTGCTTATAAAACCTATTACTAAATATTTTAGTTTTAATAATATACCGATAAAATTTAATAATAGCAAAACGGATATTATTATATATTTTTATATTTAAGGAAAAATTACGTAATAGCATAATAAAATTTTTTACTTTAAGCCGTAATTTAACCGAAAGCATTTTAAAAGGCTTTAATAAATTAAAATATTTTATAAAAGGCAATTCGATATTAAAAAAGCTATTAGGCAAAAATTCGTTTTTTAAATTATATTCCCTAATAGCCCCGGGTATATAATTTAAAAAAATTTCGTTTATATTATTTACCTAAATATTATAAACGCAAAAAATCGTTTTACGGATAAAAATATTTAGCTACGTTATAACGCTAGCTAACGTCGGGTATAAATAAATATAATTAAATAAATCGTTTTAATACCGGAAAACCCTAATAAAATTTAATAAACGGATAAAACCGTTTATATATAAATAATAATAAAAAAATTTAATTATTAAGCATACGTTATATTTTCGGGCTTTGTTTATAATAAACGTATATTTTCCGTTAAAAATAGCTTTCGTATTTAGGCCTAAATATTCGATTTTTATAAATAGGTTTTAATTATTTAAACGCGGCTATTTTTATATATTATAAATAAAATTTAAGCGAAATCGCTATTTAATAAAATTAATATACCCCCGAAAAAATAATTTACGTTTTATATATCGCATAAAATCCTATTAACGGTATTAAAATAATATTTATTTTATATAATTATTTCGTTTTAAATAATAAAAGCTATTTTTTTAAAAAAGCTAAGCCTTATTTATTTTTTACGAAATAATATAAATAAAATCCGAATAAAATCGAATAAAGATTTTAAACTTTAAATAAATAATTTTACCTTTTAATAATAATAGCGCGGCGATACCGGATAACGTTATATAAAAAATTATATTACTAAAAAAATAATAATAATAATAAAGCGTTTAATATAAAAAAATCTTTTCTATCCCGGCTAATTTTTATAAATAAAAATATATACCGGATAAATTTATTAAAATAGCTTTTATAATATAATTAAACGCTTTTTATTATTTATTATTAAGCTAAGCTAAATTTAAAGCGAAATTTATTTTTTATAAACCCGATCGTAATCGAATTCCGTTAATAAAAAACAATTATTAATTATAAATTTTTAATCGAATACCGCCGAAAATAGCCTAATAAACTTTTACGATACGCCTAAAAAAAATTAGCGATATATAAAATAAAAACTATAATTTAAATAAAGGCTTTTAATAATAGCCGGCTAACCGCTTAAATAATCGATTTATTTAGGAAAATTATTATATAAATATTTATAAAACTTTTTTTAAATATATAAAAAATTATCGATTTTTTAAATTAATAAAGCGTAATAAAAAATATTTTTTATTTGCTTCCCGTTCGAAAAATCTTTTAATTTTTCGAAAAAATATTT